AACGACTCGGCTTGGTTCCCGAAGATCGAGTCGACTTGGCGATTGCGACGGCGGGTGGTCGAATCACCAACATGCGGGACTGCGGAGTTCACAGTATAAGGCTTCGCGGTCGTCACCAGCTGGAGAAATCCATCGTGCTGAAAGCCGTCGAGTTAGAATGTTTGACCAGAACGAAGTTCCCGATTCTCAGAGAAAATTTCGGCATCGAGCCCATGGCTGATCACGTCGAGGCAGGCGAATCAGAGTACGTGGACATCCTTCTGGGCTCGGAAACAATCGCTAAGATAGAGTTCTCTGATCCGCGAAGCCTTGATGGGATGTTCGCCTTCAATTCGATCTTCGGCTGGGTGGTAGGCGGGGCGAGAAGTGACTCCCACAAGACGAGCTCAGTCGCCCATTTCTGCGGCTTTGAGATAGTTCAGCTCGACACTCCGACCGGAGAAGCTCCGGACATCGAGCTGAGCAGACCCGAGGCAGTCGACGACCCAACGACGTCAAAACGAGACCAGACCCTAAAGGATATCCAATGGCTGTGGCAATCGGACGAGGCAGGATTCGACGATGCTAGGGACAACAGAGAAGAAGAGGACGAGCTCAACAAAGCTCTATCAGAGAATTTCAAGACAACAACGACCCGGGATGACACTGGCCGCTACATAATTCATCTACCGTTCAAAAACAATCTTCACAAGTTGGGCGACAACGAGAAGCTCTCCCGTTCGCGGCTCTTTTCTCTGCTGTCAAAATTGAGGAAAGATCCGGTCAAACTCCGAGCCGTGGATGAGGAAATCAAGGCAAGCCTCGAAGCCGGATTCGCGGAAGAGGCTCTTCCAAGGGGGCCAGGACAACCAGCACATTACCTCCCCGTACAGGCAGTCTTCAAGCCAAATCCGTCCTCGCCCCTAAAGCTCAAAACGAGAATCGTCAAAGATGCGAGTGCGAGGTGTTCAAATTTGGCAGGACTGAATGATGTACTACATCAGGGTCCGAATCTTCTTCCAAATATTATCAAGGTCATCATGAAGTTCAGACAACACAAATATACTGTTACAGCTGATATTCAAAGGGCATTTCTCCAGTTCCGAATGGCGGAGACCGATAGAACATTTCTCCGTTTCTTCTGGCCACTCGGAATCTCGAATGATCCTTCGGCGAAACCAAAGGAATTTTGGTCCACACGTCTAGAATTCGGTCTCTTGTGTTCCCCCAGCCTCCACTGCCAAGGAGTCAAGCTCCATTTGGAACATGCACAGAAAAAATACCCCGAACATGCCGATTTTCTCCAAGAAATATCAGATACCTTCTACATGGATGACCTCACCACCGGAGGGGACACGCTGGAGCAAGCAAGGAAGCGAATATCACTACTATCCGAGGTCTTCCAGGAGGCGCACTTCCCGCTGAAGAAATGGAGCTCGAACAGTGTCGAGCTCGGAGAGTTCATCGGTCACATGTCACCCGTTCCAGACACAGAAATTTCCACGACACTGAGCAACGGAAAGTTCTTGGGAATACAGTGGAATCAGGTGACGGACACACTTTCAGCGCCGACGTCAGGCGCGCTCAAGACGCTGACATGCGGCGTTCCAACCAAGAGAAAACTTCTCTTGGAATATCTCAAATATTCGACCCGTGTGGAATTCTCTACCCAACAAGCGTGAACGCGCGGATCCTCCTCCAAACGCTGTGGAAAGCGCGCTGCGCGTGGGACACACCACTCAACGAAACTCACACGAACTACTACAACGAATTCGTCGCATTGCTAGAGAAGACAAACACATTTTCAATACCCCGCCTCGTAGTTTCAGGTGCCGAGCGAACGATACGCCAACTTATAATATTTTCGGATTCGTCGCTCGAATCTTTTGGAGCCGTCGCCTACATCCGCGAGTTCGAAAAAGGACCGAGCCAAGGGTCTCTTTCGTGATGGCGAAAGTCAAGGTGGCACCAATAAAAGCCAAATTCGATACACAGACTCGAGTGCTCGGCGCGGTTCTAGCAGCGAGGTTGTTGACCGCCCTGAGACACCACTTAGGATTCCCGATCCACTCCCACCACCTCTACTGCGACAACGCATCGGTAATCGGGTGGATGCGGTCTGACGCGGAAAAATGGAAACCATACGTTGCGAACAGGATCAGGAGGATCCGCTCGCTGATAGGCGACGCCACATTCAACTACGTTAAAAGCGAAGATAACCCAGCTGATCTGATCACGCGTCGGAGCTCAGACCTCGCAGACCCGAAACAAGCGAGTCTCTGGACCCAGGGCCCTTCATGGTTGAAGAACCCTCAGGAGATTCCCTTTAGAGTGGAACTGAATCTCCGAAGCGGCGACACACCGACGGCCGTGGAGAGGGAGCGAAAGGCGACACCGACGATTTCTAGTTGCTTCCTGTCTTCGGCAGCGAAGGGTCAAGAACCGATATTTTTCGAGAATCTATTCTCATCGTGGTTGAAAACGATCAGATTCTGGGCCTTTATGAAACGCATAAAAACGAAAGCCCAAGATGCAAAAGCAAGACTGCTCAAAGGCTCACCAAGTCCACGAGCCTTGTCAGCAGAGGACAGGAACGCGAAAACAGTACGGCCCTGAAGAGATGCTTGAAGCCAGAGCGGAGATCATCAAACTGATCCAAGGAACGTATTTCTCGGAGGAAGTGAAATCCAATTGCAGGAATTTAAAAAGACCAGCTGTCTATTCCAGTATTCTCCCTTTATGGATGAACAAGGCTTCATTCGCTGCAGGACTCGACTGACTCAATCGGATCAATTGACGGACAATCAGAAATTTCCGATCATCCTCCCTCCAGGGGGAGGTCTCTGCAAGCAGATAATTCGATATACGCATGAGCGAAAATGTTTTCACTCGGGGGGAGTTGCCGCTACACTCCACGAATTGAGGAAGGATTTCCTCATCCTCCACGCGAGGAAGCTAACCCGTCAAGTCATTTCGGAATGTACCACTTGCAAGATCTTCCGAGCAGAAGCGGCATCTCTGCCTATGGCCACACTCCCGAAATTTCGAATAGAACAAGCGAACCCGTTCCAGCATGCAGGCTGCGATTTCTCAGGACCCTATCGCTACAAGAAGGATTCCGGTGAGACCGGGAAGGCCTATATTCTGCTGTTCGATTGCTGCGTGAGCCGGGCTGTCCACCTTCAACTGACAACGGACTTGTCAACAGTCGAAGTTTTAGGTGCGTTGCAGAAATTCATAAATCGGTACCCGTTCGTCGAAACGATCAACAGCGATAATGGACTCTCTTTCCAACGGGCTTCGAAAGAAATAAGGGCAATATACGAACATATTCGGGACGGATCGATCAAGAAGCTCCTAGCTGAAAACTTCATCACATGGACCTTCCACACACCGCTCAGCCCGCAAAGCGGAGGCCATTTCGAGAGACTAATCGGATGCGTGAAAAAACCGCTGAGGCGAATTTTAGGCACAGCGATCCCACATTTTCGAGATCTGGAAATCATACTCACGGGAGTCGAGGCGATGGTCAATCGACGCCCGTTGACTCCAGTGGCGACCGGTCCGGACGACGTTGAAGCACTTTGTCCATTCGATCTCATTTACGGTAGACGAGGACGTACCTTCATGCCTCAGCACGACCTGACGCCCCACACGAAAGCGGACGAAGGAAGATCGATATTTCAGAAGCGTTACCAGTACCAACAAAGACTACTTAATGCATTTTGGAAACGCTATCAGGGGGAATATCTGCAGTTCCTATCCACGGCTCATAAACGTTTCCCACGCAAGACGAAACCGCTGGAGATCGGGGATATCTGTCTGCTTGAGGACACAGCGAACAATAGAGCGGTTTGGCCCTTGTGCAAAGTGATCGCGTTTCCGGACAATGTGCCAGCGGCCGAGTCGAGATCATGCACCGTCAGAACAGCCAGAGGACAAACGCTAATTCGCCCTATCAGAATACTCTACCCTATTACGGAATCGACCCTAGGATAAGGATAACGGGAATTCCGTCCCAACAACCTTACGGGGCTCAGGGTTTTTTGTACAGAATTCGAGGGGGACTGTCACAAACGGACACTCCGTTGTGTTATCTGTTTAGTGGACAAGCACACTCACACACTTCCATGCACACCACAGCCGAGCTAGGTTGAGCGCAGCTTCTTTCAGACCATCATTGGATCCTGTTTATTCGATACCTCGCGGACTCCGGGGAGTCCTAAGTCGAGATATGTCAATAAATCGCTAGCTCGAGCGACGGCACCGCGCAGTCTACCCAGACGTACTGCTGGTCTCTTTGGAGCACTCTCCCTCGGGAGAGAGATCCAGTTGTTGATAGCCAGCGATACCACACACGTATCGTCAACTTACAGCGCACGCTCGGGCTACGTTCAAGCGAAAACTGGCTAATTTCGTTCTGTTTCTACGTCCGTTCGTGATAGACATTGAGAGATCTAAGGAGATTGAGAGATCTAGAGCGATTGAGATTTCTCGGGACATTGAGAGATCTAGAGAGATTGAGAGATCTAGAGAGATTGTGATTTCTAGGGAGATTGAGGGATCTAGGGAGATTGAGAGATCCAGGGAGATTGAGAGATCTAGGGAGATTGAGAGATCTAGGGAGATTGAGAGATCTAGGGACATTGAGAGATCTAGGGACATTGAGAGATCTAGGGACTTTGAGGGAGAGTGAGAGATTTGAGGGAAGTGAGAGACTTAGGGGGAGTGAGAGATTTAGGGAGAGTAAGAGATTTGGGGAGATTGAGGGATCTAGGGAGATTGAGAGATCTAGGGACATTGAGAGATCTAGGGACATTGAGAGATCTAGGGACATTGAGAGATCTAGAGAGATTGAGAGATCTAGGGACATTGAGGGAGAGATTAAGAGATTTAGGGAGATTAAGAGATTTAGGGAGATTGCGAGATTTAGGGAGATTGCGAGATTTAGGGGGATTGAGAGATATAGGGAGATTGAGAGATCTAGGGAGATTGAGAGATCTAGGGACATTGAGAGATCTAGGGACATTGAGAGATCTAGGGACATTGAGGGAGAGTGAGAGATTTAGGGCGAGTGAGAGATTCAGGTAGAGTGAGAGATTGAGAGGGAGTGAGAGATTGAGAGAGAGCGAGAGATTTCGGGAGAGTGAGAGATTTAGGGAGAGTGAGAGATTTAGGGAGAGTGAGAGATTTAGGGAGAGTGAGAGATTTAGGGAGAGTGAGAGATTTAGGGAGATTGAGAGATTTAGGGAGAGTGAGAGATCTAGGGACATTGAGAGATCGAGAGATCTAGGGAGATTGAGAGATAGAGGGAGATTGAAAGATCTAGGGAGATTGAGTGATTCAGGGAGAGCGAGAGATTTAGGGAGATTGAGAGATTTATGGAGATTGAGAGTTCTAGGGACATTGAGAGATTCAGGGAGATCTAGGGAGATTGAGAGATCTAGGGACGTTGAGAGATTGTGAGATCTAGGGAGATTGAGAGATCTAGGGAGATTGAGAGATCTAGGGAGATTGAGAGATCGAGGGAGATTGAGAGATCTAGGGAGATTGAGAGATCTAGGGAGATTGCGAGATTTGAGACATCTGGGGAGATTGAGAGATCCAGGGTCATTGAGAGATCTAGGGACATTGAGAGATCTAGGGACATTGAGGGAGAGTGAGAGATTTGGGGGAAGTGAGAGACTTAGGGGGAGTGAGAGATTCAGGGAGAGTAAGAGAGTTTGGGGAGAGTGAGCGGTTTAGGGAGATTGAGAGATCAAGGGACATTGAGAGATCTAGGGACATTGAGAGATCTAGGGACATTGAGAGATCTAGGGACATTGAGGGAGAGTGAGAGATTTGGGGGAAGTGAGAGACTTAGGGGAAGTGAGAGATTTAGGGAGAGTGAGAGATTTGGGGAGAGTGAGCGATTTAGGGAGATTGAGAGATTCATGGAGATTGGAAGATCTAGGGAGATTGAGAGATCTAGGGACATTGAGAGATCTAGAGAGATTGAGATTTCTAGGGAGATAGAGATTTAGGGACATTGAGAGATCTAGAGAGATTGAGAGATCTAGAGAGATTGAGATTTCTAGGGAGATTGAGAGATTTAGGGAGATTAAGAGATTTAGGGAGATTGCGAGATTTAGAGGGATTGAGAGATCTTGAGAGATTGAGACATCTAGAGAGATTGAGATTTCTAGGGAGATTGAGATTTCTAGGGAGATTGAGAGATTTAGGGAGATTAAGAGATTTAGGGAGATTGAGAGATCTAGAGAGATTGAGATTTCTAGGGAGATTGAGAGATCTAGGGACATTGAGTGATCTAGGGACATTGAGAGATCTCAAGAGATTGAGAGATCTAGGGAGATTGAGAGATCTAGGGACATTAAGGGATCTAGAGAGATTGAGAGATCTAGAGAGAT